ATTTTGGTAACGCAGTCGAAACAGTACCGCAGCGATCACATGATCAAATCGCTGTTTTACAAAATCGCCGTTCACAAAAGGTTTTAGACTAGCCATCCAAGTTGTCTAAGTTGTCTAGGTAAATTTTTGATTTCTTTACTCTTACATTTTTTATCTATGTGTATAGAACATATGCATAGATATGTATATTATTAGATATCTAGGTTGAAAATTTGGATGCTTGATTGATAAAACACTTAATTTTTTGTATTCTTTGAGGAATAACAATTTCTGGATTTTTATTATACCATACCTCAAGAAGAAAAATTCCGTTATCTTGACATATGCATCTTTTTAACCGATCACGATTAACAACGCCTTCAAGTTTTTTTATGTCTTTATACCAACCAGTATTATGAAGCCGGTGCTGACTTCCTTGCACCTCCAATGCAATTTGATATTTTTGAAAGAAGGCATCAAATTCCAATCCCTTCAAGAAGGGAGGTCGATACTCAATTATCGGTTTTTCATTTAGAAATTTCTCAGCTATTTGAATGCACTTGGTCTGAAATTTGCCATCTCTATGTCGATTTAAAAAGATAATTCTGTTTATGTTAACGTAACTGTTCACTGTTCACTGTCTATCATTTTATTGTTTTATTGTTTTTTTCACTGTTATTGATGAAGAGCGACGCGATGAAGTGTAATTCAGCCATTAAATTGGTAAAAAAAATTTTTCCCAAAAGTATCTTGAAAATGATGCTAAAATGATGATGGAAATTAAGAAAAAATGCATTGCCAATTACTTCATAGGTATGTCGCTCTAAAATTTTTCTACTGACAATTCCGACCTATATAAATAGTTATCTGCTAAGTGACAGTCATCGTCCTGAGTTTATTTGCAGTACGTTCTCAAAACACCCCCTTAAATTCAACTGCGGATTTTGTACTACATGACACTTGTTTGGACATATCCAGTGACCGATAACTTTGAGAGATGCACTCGCCTCCTCTACTACGTGCAATTTCTTTAGCAATATCTAAAGTTAATTTTGCCATAATGTTTTATACTAAAATTTCAAAAGGCCGGCTCTTTAAACGTGATCTACTCCAATATTTTTTAATAGCCCTCTTTCTCATATATCGTATTCGCGATAGTCATAAAATTCGCGATACTCATTACAAAAAATACAATAAAATAATTTGATTGATTTTTAACTTGTGCGCGTGATTACATTGGAAATGATGTGCCAAAAAAATTTTATTAAACTATATCGAAATAATTATTGTATAGCAAGATGTGTTAGGAAAAAAAATCAACTTTCTCCCGGAGTGGGATCTACCTGCCGAGAAGATTTTACGAGAATATTAATAAATCTAATGTCAGGCACTAATCTTTTCATTTCTGTTCTTATGGTCAATTGCACGAAGAGTAAAAACAGCACTTTCAAACTCATTTGCCGAATTTCAGTCTGTAATGCGCCAACCCGGACCATGATCCAGTTGCTACAATTTGGTTATTGGGCGAGAAGACACATTGTGAAGTCGGTCGATCTGAGAACTGAGATTTGTGTAAGAGTTTCGAGCAATTCGGGTAGTCTAAAAGTGTATAAAAAAATTTTTTTGAATTAATTCCAGCCACAACGCCTCATTACTAAATATAGGGATTGTCTGCTATGCTCAACAAATGTTAGA